GATTGCCACCTGGAATCCACATGCACCCGGACAGGCCATACGAAGCCAGGACCAAGTATAAAGGCAAGTTGGAGCTGACCATTCCACTTGTGGATTGTCTAAACGATAAAAAAAACGTGTAAAGGACAGGGCCTACCACCTCGGTAAACCTCACATGGGTGGGCTACCTGTCCATTCACACAAGGCTCATACAGAAAAACAGGACGAAGCTCATGCGTTCCAAATTGAAAGCATAAACTGCTTATACACGAACGCCTCGAGTCTACCAAACAAACTGGATGAATTACGTGAACTTTGCAACGCTAATAAGGCCCACCTGATAGGAATATCTGAAACCTGGATATCTTCTCAGTTCTCGGACCAAGAGTTAGCATTACCAGGGGTGACTTTGTTCCGCAACGACAGAACAACAGGAATTGGGGGTGGAGTAGCCATATACATAAGCTCTTGCTTGGAGGTGCACCAAGTTCACAATCTCGAGTTTAACAATCTTGAGGAATCCATATGGTGCTCTGTAAGATTGTCTAGCACTTCGAGGTGTCTAGTCGGTGTCATTTACAGGAAGCCAACTGCTGACATCGAGTACGATAGTCGCATGCTGGATGGACTATCCCGCTCTACCCGTCTCGGTTTCACACATATCCTGATTCTAGGGGACTTTAACCTTCCTAGAGTCAACTTCGTGGAACACACGTATACTGGAGGTGACAACTCAATTGAAGCTCGGTTCTTCAACCTCATTGATGACTTGGGCTTATATGAAAATGTGAGGTCGGCAACTCGTTGGAGAAACAGTCAGACACCATCGCGGTTAGACTGTGTATTCACAAATGAAGAATTCCTTGTTGACAACCTCTCAATCTTGGCTCCTCTTGGAAAGAGCGATCATGCCGTCATAGCCTTCAGTTTTGTCACCAAAACTAAGCTAAGGTATCCCAACAATAACTTGGTTCCTCAAACGGTTCCCAAATGCTGTAAGCCACCTACAATAATCAAGAACCGTACCCTTCGCCTGCTAAGCCGTAAAAGACACTGTTGGTCGGAATACAAACGAACTGACAACGAAGGAGCGTATAGGCAATTCAAACATATCAGGAACACATGCACGAATGCTATAAGAGAAGACAGGCTTCATTATCACACAAAGCTTATGGACAAATTGGCCTCGAACCCTAGAAGCCTATTCCGTTATGCAGCCTCTCTTCGTCAAGCCAAAACAGGAGTTTCTCAACTGCTAGGTTTTAATGGCCCAACCAACAACGATGGTGACGCCGCTAACCTTCTGGCGGCACACTACTCTCAAACATTTCAGCCGGCTGACATCAACTCTATTGACGACAGTTTCACCTGTAATTCCACAGGGCTTTCCGAAGTGGACCTAAGCGCTGACTTGGTGTTCCGGAAACTGCAGCACTTAAGACTAGATACTTCTCCTGGCCCGGATATGGTTCATTCTGCCATACTGAAGGAGGCAGCCTCAATCCTGGCAACGCCGCTTAGCGTGATGTTTTCACACTCGCTAAGCCAAGGCAAATTACCGGAAAATTGGAAGTTGGCTCACATCACACCAATTTTCAAAGGGGGTCGACGCAATGAACCTTCAAGTTATCGGCCTGTGGCTCTTCTGTCATTACCTTCAAAACTCATGGAGTCCCTGATATGCGATGGTTTAAACGATTATCTACTGTCCTTAAACTTCTTCTCACCCCAACAGCATGGTTTCAGGAAGGGTTACTCTTGTATAACCAACCTGCTGACTGCGGTGGACAGGTGGACAAGCATCCTCGATTGCAAGGGAAAGGTTGATATCATATACCTTGACTTCTCAAAAGCTTTTGATAAAGTTAACCACTTGTGTCTTATCAACAAGCTCAAACGACTAGGTATCAAACCACCTCTAATCGATTGGCTTACTTCATACCTAGAAAATCGACACTTTAAGGTTAGGGTTAATTTCACTTTATCTCAGGCTATGGAATGTCCTAGTGGGGTTCCCCAGGGCTCAGTATTAGGGCCTCTCCTCTTCTTGATCTACATAAACGATCTTCCTCAACAGGTAACGTCAGACTTACTACTTTTTGCCGATGACGTGAAACTTTGGAGAGAGATACGCAACCAAGACGATACACAGGCACTTCAGGAGGATCTGACTCGACTTCAAAGTTGGGCAGACGATAACGGACTTACGTTTAACACTTCAAAGTGTAAAGTAGTCCATCTGCGACATGTCGCAGACTACAGTTATAACTTAAGAAATTCCTCTCTAGTAGTATCCCAAGTCGAAAAAGATTTAGGAGTCCTGGTGCCCCATGATTTAAAGTCTTACGCTAATTGTGACAAAAATGCCATCCGAGCTAACCTTGCACTAGTAACATTGAAGCGCATTTTTGGTCAGTTTGACGGAAGAACTTTCCACACAATCTTCAATAGTTTTATCCGTCCCCATTTAGAGTACGGAAATATAGTACTCCCCCACTCACTCCAAAAGGACAAGATCACTTTGGAGCGTATCCAACGGCGAGCCACGAAATCAGTTCGCGGACTCAAATCTAAGCCTTACGAAGAACGCCTCCATTTACTAGACCTTTACCCATTAGAGTATAGGCGTCTTAGGAGCGATTTATTAATGGCTTATAGTATTCTTAACACTTCTGGACATCCTCTTAAACACCTACTCAAGCTTAGTTCGAATAATAACCTAAGGGGTAACACCCAGAAACTGGAAACTCAGTACAGCAAGACGGGATGTAGACACAACTTCTACTCCTTAAGAGTTGTCAAAAGCTGGAATTCGCTGCCCGCTGAGCTAGTCCAAGCGACTTCTCAGGAGTCCTTCAAGAGGCAACTTGACCTATACTTAAGGACCAAAGACAGTATCATACTATGATTTACCAATTTCTTTTCCTCTTTTATTGTTAACATACCTAGGTTCCTGCCTGGAGGATTTGGTGATCCCCTGCTACTAGACACGGAAGCCTGTTAAGCGAAAGCTTCTTTTATTCCGTCTACAACCATTTGAACCATTTGAACCATTTGAACTTGACATATCCTTAAGGACTGAGGACATTATCTCACTATGATTCACCAACTTTTTGCTTTTCTTCTTTCATCGGTAATATACCTAGGTTCCTAATTGGAGGCATCGGCGAAACACTGCTACTAGATACGGAAGCCCGTTAAGCGAAAGCTTCTATTCCGTTCAGAATCATTTGGATCAGCATTGAGCATACACCTTTAAAGGCGCTGTGATCAGAAAAGAACGCTACGTGGGACTCACTGTCAGCAGCGATAGTGCCCTTAACGTATGTCGATCCTCTTTTATAAATTTTAACATACTGTAATTGAACATCTATGTTTTACATGTCTAGTCATTTCAGTGTCTAGTCGGCACATATGGCAGAAAAGATTTGGATTTGAAAATTGTCGAGGGACAAATACGATTTAACTCATTAGTATGTAGACGAGGGTCTAAACAAATTTCTTTATTTCTTTTTTTTTACTTAAACAGTAGTGTTCCCACTTAACTGACTTTCCATTGCTTTTAAACGTTTAAATTGTTTTCATTTTTCACCGTAGTTGAATTTCCCACGAACTATTTCCCCTTACGTATTTTATTTTAGAAGCGTTAAAACTCCAGTCTGGTTTAAGCCATTCGCCAGAATTCTGGTCCAGTATGTGCTATTATACGTTGAATGTCTCAGTATTACAAGACATGTCTAATGTATATATATCTTTAGTTAATTTTCAATCAAATAATATTTTATACATTAGTTTCTACACTTTCATCTGTCTTTTTGTCGCTCTTCTGTCGTTCTCAATAACTAAATATTTCTTTTAACTGTTCCAGTTTTATTGTGTTAGTGAATAGTAAAACATACTTAAACTATATACACATTCCAGCTTTCAAATTGCTCGTTGTTCCTATCTGGATTGAATTATGTAGATTATATTCCCAGAACGGCTTCAAAAGGCACTTAGGACACTATACATCAACTTAGTCCGAATAAAGCTAGTCAATACAAACTTGAAGTGTAGACAGGAATGAGTAAATGTTTTGCTAAAAGATTCCTAACATTTAAGGAAAACCTGCGAGCAAATTCACAACTTCCTGTATAAAAGTATGTTTACAACTCACTTTGCATATAAAATGTACCGGGGTGTTTTACTTATGATCAGTGACAGCAAAGTTATGGACAGTAATCAATTAGATTCCATGTCAACAGGGTTTAACAATTACTTGTGGTAAAATACTAACAACTCATTTCTGTTTGAATTATGTACTTCTGTTATCTAGGAAAGTCTAGCACTTGTATCACCCATCCTAGAACACAGAGCCTCCAAAGTCCCTTTCTTGAATTCTCATCGTATCTATCGTTCTCCTCCGCTATGTTTGGGACTGTCTAACGAACTCCTAATTTAGCTATTCATTCAAGCGTTGCAATACGAGATATGGACGGTTTTTGTCAGGAAATTATCACCAGTATGCAATTTACTTCAATCGGATAAGAGTTACAATACTCGGGTTCAAGACAAGAACTTATTTCACCTTCCTGATACTACATGGTTAGAGTAATTAATTATAACCAAGTTCTATCCTTCTTACGATTATACGAGTAAACTTATCTGCGTAATTTTGCTATGTACCTTGTTAACAGTAGAGTTGGTTGTTTTTCAAAAATGGAAGGAATCTAATACTGGACCACGATACCAAATCACGTAGTACATAAATTGATCAATTATCCGACCAATAATTAAGAACTAGATTTGATCTACCGAGATTTTTTAAACACGATGTATAAGCAGTTAAAAACTAGTAAAATCAGAATAGGATCACTTCTATAGACAAAACAGTTTGATTTACTATAGCTGGACGTCCAACTTCGTTCACTGGCTAACCACATTTTTTGACACATCATTCTGGTTTGTTTCAGTAACATTTAAAACTGTAAAACATTCGAGTTTCCTGTGTTTTATGACAGATACTGGAACACTAGGTGAAAATGTCAGTCCAAACTCTAGTGACTAAAAAGCGAAAGGAGTTCATTGGACTCCCAGCACCCTTGGGATATGCTGCTGGTATAGGACGTGGTGCTGTAGCGTTTACTACAAGATCTGATATTGGTCCAGCCCGAGAAGCTAATGATGTTTCAGATGAACGACATGTCGCTCCATCTAAACGTCGAAAGGAGCAGGAAGAGGAAGAGGAGGACCTAAACGATTCAAATTATGATGAGGTAAAGATCTGTCGGATATAGTTTTGGAATACTTTTTGTAATGTTCTACATATGGTTGTTTCCGTCATTACTTCTATCCATAAGAAACATAAGGACAATTTGTAGCTATATGAATATCTGTACGCAGCAGAAAATATCAAATATTTTGCCTCCGCTTATGATTCAATTGTAACTTGCATTAAATAATTGTTTGATAATGCTATTTTATGAGTTATTCTGTTGGTCGAAATGTAGGTGTTGAAAATGTCAAGTTTAGAAATCTTGGAGATGTTTGGCTTTACTTATTTATTTATTTCAACACATAGATATTACACAAGTTGAAATCATGAGTCAGTTGAAGCTAGACCACCATTGAAAACCTGGAAGCACTGGACGGCCGTTTCGTCCTAGTATGGGACTCCTCAGCAGTGCGCATCCACGACCCCGCACCACCCGGGGCTCGAACCCAGGACCTACTGTCTTCGCGCGCGAGCACTTAACCATTAGACCACTGAGCCGGGTTCGAGCCCCGGGTGGTGCGGGGTCGTGGATGCGCACTGCTGAGGAGTCCCATACTAGGACGAAACGGCCGTCCAGTGCTTCCAGGTTTTCAATGGTGGTCTAGCTTCAACTGACTCATGATTTCAACTTGTGAAATTTCTAAAATCTCCACAAAACCCATTCTGACATAGATATTAGTACAAAGAGGCACCAAATACATATGCGCCACACAAATCTCATTCGATATGTGTGATGGCTGTGATACTGCCCGGGTGCCCAAACCGAAGCAGGTGGTTTCCTTAGGAGGCCACACCTGGAGCCTTCGACCTAAAGGTCTGATCCACAAGGCGGTGGAGCATCGTATGGCGATGCAGTCCCATGGTAGCCGGTGACCAACGACTGGTTTATACGCCGTTTGTTCACTTAAGATACTGGAGCCCATGTGCACCGTTGGTTTGGAATCAGGGTTTTCCGACTCTCCTTGGTGGATTCTCTGTGCCCACCAACCGGGTTAAAGCGCCGGACATTGGCTTTTCGTCCTGTCAATTTCGTAAACAACACCCGTCCACTAGAAGGCAGTGAGTAGGACTTCCCTGGCAGAGGCTATATACGCGTAGCCATGTGAGAGCATTTCGTGAGAAAATAATTATGTAGTTTACAATACAATAAATGATTTCACTGAATATTTTTTGGAGTTATCGAAGTCAACTTTAAAGTTAAACGACTTGTCAAATAAAAGAGAGATTAATGTACACGTTTCTTCAGAACTTTTTCAAGTTTTCCTTTATTCAGAATTTCACAGTTCCCGAGAAATAATGAGTTTCTCGTGATAAATAATAAAGGTTTGGGTGTATAATAATGATAAAATGGTGTTGACGACCTAGTGTGTTTGGCTCAATCCAACTAATTCTCAGTAGTAAAAAGTGCAAAATAATGCCATGAAATAAAACTCACCCATTAGGTTAATGATTACACTTTTGATATAGTAAGATGTTAACAGATCGTATATTCGACACTCCCATTTCACCAGTTCCTGAGCCACACACGTTTATTTACTAGTGTGACACTAGATGAAACTTGTCTATTAGCCTAATACTCCATATTTATGATATGTATCCGTCTTTAGGTTAAACAGGATCTTTTATATTATTTTGCATCTAGTTTACAGGCTATGGTGGTAGTTTGTGTGCAAAAGATCCTTATGAGAAGGATGATCAAGAAGCAGATGCTATTTATGCTTCTATTGATGATAGGATGGATGAAAGACGGCGGGAGTACAGAGAAAAACGTTTTCGTGAAGAGATCGAAAAGTATCGTCGTGAAAGACCAAAGATTCAACAACAGTTCATGGATTTGAAGCGTGATTTAGCGAGTGTATCTGAAAGTGAATGGAATGCTTTACCGGAAGTTGGCGATTCACGAAATAGGAAGCAAAGAAACCCTAGATATGAACGTTTTACTCCGATTCCAGATAGCATAATTGCAAAAGGCTTGTCTGATGGTCAAGTGAGTCATCTTATAATTCTATTTCAACTCTTCTGTTTTAGACCAATGTTTCTGTAGATGTAATTGAACAAAGTTTAGGAGGCTTAACTACACCGTTTACTTCACAAACAGCTCAAATGGATATTGATATGAAGAAAATTGGTGAAGCGCGTACTTCTTTGATGGATATTAAGCTGACACAGGTACATTTGTTTCTATTATCCACTAAAAAGTTTCATTTCATTCTTAACTTTATCTATTTTAAAATCTCCAGTAATACCAAACTATAGCCGCGTAGTCCATAATGTAGTCCGAAATGCACAGTACTTGCCACTGAGTTCATTAGCTGGATATATTAACAAATAAGTTCCACAAAAATGAACACAAAAGTACAATCTTTCCGTAAAGCACATAACTTTACACGCCAAGAACAGTTGCGCTTACTCGCAAGTACTAATATTCATGTATTTATTTCATAATAATAAGGTTAGTGCGGCCGTTACACTAATAGGAAACTAGCACCATTAGTTTTTTAAACGCATTACGTAGTTTCTGTATGTCTGCGTATGGTAGCATACTTTATAGAAATAATTTATAAAAAAATATACTAGGAATTTTATTTATTTGTTCGCTTGAACACGTAAATATAGGTACAAAAGGGCACAGAATACATATGCGCCACACAAGTCACTTGATTTGTGTGTAGGCTGTGATACTGCCCGGGTGTCCAAACCGAAGAATTGTTTTTGTACTTTCCATTGATCTTCGTTCTTTGCAGACATTGGTTAACAGTCTTAAGTGATGGTTTGAATCCATTATACACAGAAAGTAGGCGAATAGGGAAAACCAGTTGATGAGATTGGGAGTTTTGAGTGACTGGTGTTTTTGGGTTGTGTTACGTATGCTTAGCAACCAACTACATCGCAACCCAGTGTTAGCTGGTGTCGGAGTTGGAAGAAAACCAGAGGCGACTAAACCAAAACACGCCACTCGTCCATGAAGTCATCTAATGTTGATCTAAGAAATATTGGTAGGTAAGGCCTATCTGGCTAGGGTTTGCGCGATAATCGCAATCAGTGGTTTGAAACGTTAAATAAAGTAGCTCACAATCGGTCACAGTGGCCTAGATACAATCACTATTTGTCTCACCTTAGGTCATAAACTTCAATATTATTTCATGTTTTCCGTTTCTCGAATACAGATCTTTTTCGAACCGTATTCTCCAATGTTTGATCCTTCTTAACTTTACTTAGACTTCATCGCTTTTCATTTTGTTGATTTCCCTTCACTGTGGTGATGTGATATAAGTACTTAGAATGATACAGACTTTTGCTAGGCTGTATGCTGATTACGACTTGTTATGATGCCTTATAACTTATTTCAATCCATTTGTAACTAGGTTTCTGATAGTGTATCAGGGCAAACTGTTGTTGATCCCAAAGGGTATTTGACTGATCTACAGTCTATGATTCCTCAACATGGTGGTGATATAAACGACATGAAAAAAGCTCGACTCTTATTAAAATCGGTACGCGAAACTAATCCTAAACATGCTCCTGCTTGGATTGCATCTGCTCGTTTAGAAGAAATAGCTGGTAAACTCCAGGTTAGTTTAGTCATAAACCAATCTAATATTTAGCCATTTTATAAACTTTCATATACTTAACTTTTTAAGTGTATCATTTTGTCATGTAATTAATGTGGTATATTCTATAGAGACTTGGTCAGTGGACAATTTCCGTAACTCATCAGATGGTGTACTGACCAGATCACGTTTTACCTCATATTCTGTCGTCCTAGATTGGGTGAATAACATAACCCATCGATCGAGTATAAGTTTTTTATTCAGTTTTAAGGGAGATTTTTATGTGGTTAGTGATACTACTTGTTTCCCCAAAACAAAGTAAACGGAGCAGGGCTCAAACCTGTAGCACCAAACCACCTCCCCAATTCTTAAGAGCTTTCATTCAAATTGTCGCTGCTAATGCCATCTCTAATGTCTTTGGAAATCTCGAAATTACATTGTTCATTATAGGAAACTTGACATCAAAGCAATCTGTACTACATTCTGTAAACCTTGGTGTTTGATCCATATTTTAAACAAGATAACAGGTATTTTAACGAAGCATTGGTTTATTTTAAGCAAAAATACCGATAAGAAGCGTTAGTTAGAATAAATGCTCAGACTTAATAGACGCTACTGGGTGTAATACAAACGATCAAGTGACGATAACACTTAGTTCAAACAAGCGAGTAACGTTTACAAAAAAACGATAAGAGATGAGCTTTGGCATGAGAAAATTACATTTAAATCAAAGTTAATTCACATACTTGTCAAATTGTGATGTTTGGTGAAGCCAAATGCGCGACAAAATTGCATAAAGTGGGTGTATATGTGCCATGCAAACATAACTTACAAAAACGTTTATGTGAAAGTAATTCCAACTACCCGGGTCTACCTTCTGGACATGGCGCCGAGTTTTCTAATTCTACTCCGGTAGCATACAATCAAATAAGAAAATGAAATCTCACCTTATATATCAGGTGAACAACGTATTTTTACAAGTTGTTTTTATTAATGAAATTCTCTCACTAGTCACGGTATATCATCGCAGTTGTTTTACTTAGGATACTTCAGTGTCTTGAAAAAATAAAACTGCACTTCTCAAAATAACAGTCAACTCAATTATTTGACTTTGGTTTACAATAACTTTGAATCGAATCGGCGTATTCTACTGAGAACTATTTACAAAAAACTACTCTCCAAAAATTGGCTTATTTTTTTCCTACTTCCGGTTGTGTGAAAAGATAGGCTGGTATCTCTAACTGATGCTTATAACAATTTATTACCAAGTCACCGTGGGTTTCGTAATTTTTGTGACATAAACCCTTTGTGGTTAGCAGTGTTTTCTCAAAAGTCTACCTTAGATTATGGTCAGTCGCGTCTCCAAATAGATTTATTGCAAGCACTTTATTTCGAATCACTTTTTAAGAAACTAAGTTTCTTGGTATCCTTGTGACATGGAACATGTCACATTAGGGCGAAGAATAAATTACGGGTAACTTCTGAGAATTATTAATGGGCTAATATTATATATATTCGTGTTGTATAACTGTTCAGTATCTCTGTCGTATATAGTTACATTTCTCTTATTATAAGCTTCATTTTGACATATAACTTACTATTATACGATTTACTGTTCTTAAATTATACTCAGTTTATTAATTACTGTCCTCCACGTTCGCAGCCACTTTTTGGCCTGATCTTGTATAAACGTTATTTCCTACTTTACGGTGCGATGCGATCTGTTTGGCTGGTATATAAATCAAGTATATTTGAAATAAACGAATCGCATATCGGAAGCTGTTATTGGGATTCTAGACACAACTGGACGGGGTAGGCGAACAAAGGACCAATAAGGACGCTAGGCTGATCAAACCGGTCTTACGTCATTGGTTTAGTACAGTACAAGAATAAATAAATCGCATTTTGATTGGCGAACAAATTACGTGATAACGAGCCGGATGCAGAGTCACAACAAAACTGATAGGAACACATAGTCCATGGCTATAAATTAGATGTTACGTCTTGGATTACTGAGGATTACTTACTGTATTTGTTTCGTCTCATTTTACGGGCTGAAGGCTTTGATTGGTGATTTATATTTTTTAAAAGGACACCTCGATGTATACGCCGCGGATAGTTTAATTAGAAATGTGGATATAAAAGTAAAAAACCAACATTAGTGATCACGATTTTGAAAATAGTTCACTTTTATTTCTTGTGATTGGTTCCCAATAGATCACTGTTTGCTCGAAATTGATGGTTCATTATATCTTTACAAATATAACAAACAATAACTGCAGTGGTGTTGATATATTGACTATTTTAAGCACAATATGACTTCAGTTCTGTTCAAGACCTTTAACATATCTTCACAACCAGTCTAAATCTATGAGAACAGACATTCTTCGTAAATTTTACCTACTATATTTTCAGTTAGCATTTAATACATTTGCAGAAACTCTGTGACTATTAGCCGAAGCTAAACTTCATTTTCAAGCAAGTAGCTGGCTAGCAACACACGAACATTTTCTGTTCTTGTAGTTTGCTGCTCTTGAGAGCAAAACAGATTAGAGACTTACTTATTTACTTACTTACTTATTTACGCCTGTTACTCCTCGTGAAGGCCGCTCATCATCATTTTCCATCCAACCCTGTCCTATGCAATACTTTCCAGCTCCTTCCAGTTGTTATTCATCCTTTCCATATCTGCTTCTATTTCCGACGTAACGTGTTCTTTGATCTTCCTCTTTAACGAACATGGCTCATAGCAGTACTAACGTATCAACCAGTTTCACGAAGGCTTCTGTAGACCTGTGCGTTATTTTTTCGTCGTGATTGGTCGATCAAAGTTTCTTCAGTTGCAAGGAATTCGGATATGGCTTCAACGAGTAACTAAAGCGGAAATCTCACAAATGCAGATGACATACCACATGCTACGAACTTGATGTTACTTTCGAACCGAGGCTTGCATCTTTTATGGGATTCTCTCAGAGTTGGACGGATTATTTTCTCTTTAAATAAAGAAAGACAACTTCATTTAGAATCATCTACATATAAAATGTATATTTTGTACTGCATGATAAGATCTCAGTTTAGCATATTCAAATCATCTGTACGTAGTTACATGTCCATTATTACCATATGACAGAACCATAATTTATCACTTTCAAACCCTATATAATCATTTATGACGAAGAATTGTATCTCATATATTGCGTACTGTGTGTTATATTGTGTTTGGATGCTGCAACCCACATACTTACTGTATTCATTTCTTTAATTCAGACCTCTATCTGACATTCAAAAATATATGACCATACATAAAGAGACATTATACTCCGGACTTTATACACTTTTTTATGCACTATCCTTCAAATTGTGTTTGGGCGCTAAAACGCATTTTATTTCCGGTATCACCTGTTCAATTTGGTGAGTCAGTCCTAGTTCTTGGTCGGTATTTTCACCTGAATAACTGCTTCAGATATTTTCGTAGTAAATTATCACATTAATTCTAGATGGTATTAACCTTCTTTAAAACTAAATATTGCTGCACTTTCCAACTTCAACCCATGCAAGCTTCAAGTTTGTATATGTGCCAAATACACTACCCATTTCGACCATCTGATACTGAATATTGACAGTTCTAGATTGCCTTATTATGGGAAACTATCTTTCCGTGTGATCTCTAAATTAAATTGATCCAGTGTGCACATTTTTATTCTATTTCACCTCTATACATATACTTGCATAATACATCTCTGTTAAGATCTTCCTGCCATCTTCATTAACGGTCACGACACTGCCACACTTGTTTCAAACATGGGCTATGTATTTTGGACGACCTTGAGCCCTGCATTCTGAATTTTGCACCCATGTTTCTATTTCAACACTTTTTTCAATTCATCCTCCACTAACCTTTTCCAAACCACGCTTCGAAAAAACTTGAAAGCCCCTACATTTAGGTGTCCAGCGAAACGGAGGCAAGGACACGATCTAATACTATTACCGACACGATTCCCGGCAGTTTTAACGAGTCGAGCTACTCTGTTTATCCAGAAGTGGATAATCTTATTCCAATTCTCACCATTTCAAACATGTTGAAGATTGTATTGGTAAAGAATAATAATAATGGCCACTGCAACCATATGAATGACATAAAATGTTGCAAGTTGATATGAACATTCTTAATCCCCTTAAGTATGTTAAAAACCTCAACCTCTCAGGAACTCCAGATCAGATAAACGAAACAAATAATTTCCTTGAACGTGTTGCTTTAGAGATGTTTGAAAGAATAAGACGAACCAGCAATGCAATAAGGCACATTCCATAAAAAGTATTCAGTTTAATCCGCTTAAAGCCAGTAATATGAGACATGCACCATATGCGTGCGCAAGACTGAAACGAAGTTACCATGTTATATACTTACCGATCACACTCAAGCTCAACACATCTGTAGGCGCCAGTGAGTCTTTAGCTTTCTCTAATAGGATAAGAAAAAAACAGATTTTCAAGGATGTCAAGAGAGAATACTGTGTCATCGAAAAGCAGGAAGAGGTAGTTGCAGACTACTAGCGTCAAGATTTCGAACTCATCATAATCCTAAAGGTTATAAAATTATGTCCGATGCTGAGAGAATCCTTGACTTTACAAATCCGCAATCGCTAGCAAACTCTCCTGAATCTCTTTAAGTTCAGAACCCAGAAGAATGTACCCGTAATGTAAATAGTGTCCATTCTCCTAAAAATGTTGATTTACATTCGGCCGTAAATAGTCGTTCCGGTAACTAGCAAGATAATTCAGTTCAACTTCCCGTCAGTGCATAACCCATTTTCAGTAACTGTGTAACAACTAACGGGAAAAAGTCACAATAATTATATAACTGACCGCGCACTGAAAGTCGACGTATTCGAACCTTGCAAACCACCGCAAGTATGTCTACTAACACCGGATTCTGCTCAAATTACAAAGAAGCTATAACAAATCAAAAACCTTTGAAATAAATGACTGAAACATGTTACACGTACATCATGTATAAAAAGCGATTCGAATTATAAACGACCAATTAACCGCAT